CGTGACCAGACTCAACGCAGGTGGTTCAATAGGACCTGCAATTTTTCAGTGAGCCACGCTAACGGTAACTTACTGCGATGTGGTCGATTTGAGTTAGCGTACCAGTTGAACTGGAGCGCCACGTTGCCGTCCGTCGAGAGCTATGTCGGAAATTGGTGCTTGATAGGAACAGATGATGGTCTGCACAGAACTGAAGTCGATCGCCGTTATCTGTTCGTTGACAGGGCAGAGCACAACTACCGCCTAGGCAAGCTTCTGATGCGCTCAGTTGTCCAACCTGCGCGTTAAAGTCACCTGCAAGTACAACTTTGTCGGAGCTTCGACTCATCCGAATGAGATCAGTGAGTTCATCGTAGAAAGCGTCCTTTTGGGTATCAGAACTGCAAGTGGTCGATGCAAATGCTGATACGATACTGCACATAAACGAATGTTGACGGGGATCCAATCGAGAAGAGAGGACTCAGCTCTGTTACTGAGTGCAATACCTACCCAGCGCTGACCTACTGAACGAGCTTTATCGTCGCCTGATGTGCGAAGAACGTATCTGGTCGACAAATCTGGCGCGCGCAAGTGGCTTATAGTAGTAGGATCCTGGATCCGAGTTTCCTACACGCAGCAAATATCGATTCCTAAGGATTCCATTGTGTGCGCCAGACACGCTTGTCGACTTATCTGCATCAGAGTCCTCGCGCTGAAGGCCCCCGGATTCAGTGGCTGACGAGGCTTCAGAATCTGCACTCTATTTTGTGGTAAACTACTTACCGAGCTTCTTGGTAACGAACTTTGGCAAGTGGCGAACAAGTTGTCTGAGGGAATGTTACGGGTTGGAAGAAAGGGTAAAGGGAGAGGATTAGGTACGAAAGACATAGAGTTAAACAAAAGTTGGGATATCTGAGCAGTAGCCCACTTATCACTACCCACCCCGCTCGATGCAATGGGCTGCGCGGTCCTGATTATCCTGCGCGAAAATCGATGCAATATGGAATTATTTTTATTTTGTGTATGTATTAGGGTTTGATGGACGGGTGTGTCCAGCCACTAAGCAGGAGAACGATTAGGGTTCTCGTCCAAAGCCTTTAGTTCTAACAAGAACATAACCGCAAGGCAGCGGGTAAAGCGAAGTGGAGGCCCATTTATATGGATCGATTACTCCTCCACCGTTTTTTATCCACTGAAGCGACAAATTCCAGACGAACTCCCCACTTGGAGGACCAGCAGACTGAACTTCGTCTGACCTCTACCCATTGACCTCCCAGGCATGATAAGATATCCTGGCTTTATAAAGCCATCCTGTGTAGCTCGCTGGGTCACAGAGGTGCACAATCCATCACACCACGTCAAGTTGTAGTGTTTTTTTATCGATTAGTTCATGTGATATTGATTTCAGACCGGGATAGAGAACGTAAATGAATAACCAGACATGGAATTAATTTGTGACTACCGGAGATGTTCAGTGAATCCTTCGTTATACCAGGGTACAAAAATAACTCTGAATTTATTATTCCCCCTAGCAACGGGAGAGCATATGAGACTGAATTTCGTTTCGTTCGTTCGCGGAGCTTGGCAATTAACCTGACAGTGACTCGAAATAATCCGTTTGAAACTTCTAGTTTGTTGCACGCATCGATCAAGTGGAACAAATGGAACCCGTACGCGACATATTGCTATCTAAGCAGGTGGCAAATTGCACCACGTATCTATTGTTCTGTGGAGTAGTACAACATCCTATCATTCGACAGTGGTGCTTTGTTCAGAAAATACGCCAAAACTGGAGCAATTTTCTGTGATGCGTACAAACCGACTCCACATGTGATCGGTATTTTTCACGAGGATAGACGATACCACGGGCAAGGTACAATCTAGATAGTGTGTACCTGTTTGCGCAGTCGGACCAGTTCACGTTCAGCCTCAATCAATTGGGCCCGGAGTTGTTCGGTTTCCAAAGAGCCTGTGGTCAGCTGGTGCTGCGTCGTATGGGACTGACGCTCCAGACGATCACACAGACCTCGGAGATCGGTTAATTCACGACACGTCTCCTCATTTTCGCATTGTAGTCGACGTACTCGCCCCTCAGATTCTGAGACGGTCTGATTGAGCAGAGCGCACTGTATGCAAAAACGTGAGTGTATATGGACCGATGATTAGGGAGGGAGGGGGGAAGTAAATATCTGTTGAACAGTAAGGTTTTACACAGAGAACTAGACTCTGAGATGCAATGAAGAATTACAGGTATCATGTGAACATCAGTATTTTACAGAGCCATTAACGCACACTGTTCCAAAGACAACTAAGGTTAAAGAAGTTCCAGATCGATTATAGCAAGCAATCG